TTGTGGGCAAGCTTTAGCTATATGTCCTTTTTGTCCACATTTGAAACAGACTCCAGTTCCACGGCGACAAATACCCCAATGTTGCTTTCCACATTCCCTAAAGCTCAGCAAGTAACATTCAAGTAAAGGGGTAGTGAACGAATTCCACATTTCATATATCCATAAAATAAATCATTCATAAACATAATCATCTCATATCAGAACATACATAATGGCATACTCCATAGAACATAACATTTGTCGTCCAACGACTAGAGTAACCGGTCCCGGACACCGATTAAACACATACTGAGATCTCGTAAACTGGTCCACTTAGGACTATCTATGGGTGCCATACTAGATTCGCAAACTGGACATTCGTTCACAGAAAACATTTATCATTTCAAAACCGTAGCATAACGTAGCACTTTTAAACGTAGATCATACTAACATATCTTTACAGAAATGTTACTCACAGTGGGTTTCCAAAACCGATTGCATGGTCTTCGCCTCCTGACCTGCAATTATTAACATTAGAACACATTATCATAGAAGCAAGTGTTCGTGCCATACTATCCTTTCTTTACTCTATTTCATGATTATGAGATGCTAAATGATGCAAATGACATGTGAAAATCATGTAATTCAACTTCTCAAAATTTCTTGAAATAAGTCCCCCGCTCGAGCACCACTTTGTCTGCTCGAGCGGACTGCACAATTTTCCAAAACTGCTGGGAGGCCGATTTTCACACTCGAGCGGGAATCCCTCCGCTCGAGCGGACCACGCAAAATCTGAAATTCTGAAATCTTCCAAAGCTTGGATCTTTCCTTTTTGCAAAACCACTTCAACATTTATGAAATCCAAGTCTCAAAACACTTGAAACACAACTTGAATTAAACATTATAGCTTCTAAACAAACCCAAATGCATCATATACAAAATCCAACCTTGATTGAAGATGAAAAATCATAAAACATGTTCATAAAAGCTTCATTCTTAAATCCATGGTGGTTTTTCCTCAAAATATGACAAATATAACCATAAATCATCTATTCATGCCATGCATGCTCAAATTAAACATATTTCCCCTTTCAATCCTCTTATTTAACATGAGATCATTGATGCATCAACCTTAATTCAAGAATTTAGAGAAGATCCTTACCTTGATTCTTTAATTGAGGAAGATTTAAGCTTGATTTCCCCTTTTCTTCCCTTTCTCACGAACTCCCTCTCTCTCTCTCTCTTAGATATTTTCTTTCCCTCTTTTGTTGAGTCAATACATGGTTAACATAGTCCTTATCCTTATCTATATATCATAAATATAGAATTGTGCCATAAACATGAGCCAAACAAGGCTTAGCGATTCAGACAAAATTCAGTCCTCAATTTATTTTCCCAAATGGTTCTAAAAATTCCCGGTATCACATAGGCGTGCTCAACTTCGTTTTCTGAACCCATTACGGTCATCAATTTCAGTCCCAAAGTTCTCATCTTAACAGATATTCTTCTAATTCAAACGGATATTCTTCAATTAATTCGCATAAACACATAATTAATTACTGATAAATATGACACATGTTTTGGGGTCATTACAGAAACTATAGCGATTATGGTTTAGACCTGACTCGTTTATTTTTTTGAATCCAAGATTCTTTGTCTTGATGGTTGTTTATATCCTTGTTCATCTTATCCCTTGTTGAATTGGGTTGTGTGAGTATAGTGGTTGCGTTTGAAATAGGTTGAGAGTTCGTTTTTCAAAGGATTCTTTGCTTGGAATTTTGTTTGTTCACCCAAGCGATTTTTTACAGTCTACAAAACTATTTAGAGTTTGATATCCTTGCTTGAGCAACGCTTTTTGTGCTCAAGTGAACTTTTACAGGTCTGAACTATTGGGAAGGGTGCATTGTGCACTCGAGCGGTGTCTTCGTTTTGTGTCGGTCGTTCAAGTAACCATTCCTACGCTCGAACAGTCTACGCATATATCATTTCAAGAAAGCCACTTTTTGAGTCATTTTCTTACCTCGCTCTCTCTAAACATCAGAAAACTTAGATCTACTCTTTCTCTCTCTCTCTAAAACCCATCTTAAAACCTTTAAATGCGCCTTGATTCATTGATCTCTCAACCATTGTCCTTTGGGAAAAAAGGTAGAGCTTGTCTAGAGCTTCTATTTGATCTGAGCAAAGTTAAGTTTTGACTTCGTCAAAGTTTCTTCACTCTCTTTCTTGCCTTCTAGTTTTGAGGTTGGGATTTCTCCGCACTTTTGTATAGTTTTTAACTTAGTTATTTGTTTTTTTAAACAATATTGTGATTTGGGAATTTTTGGATAAAATCTAAGGTTTTGGTTTTGAAATCAAAAGAGGGCTCTTTAAATGAATTCTTGAAAATAGTTGTGGAATTGTAAATGTGGTTGAGTTGTGGTAAAACGGTGGATTTTTATCCTTGATTTTTTTTTTCCTTGGTGGATAATATCATTGGAATTGATTTATAAAGAAAATAGGGTTTTTGCCCTGAAATGTGAATATTTGATTTTATAAAGAGGAAATGAAAATGATGTTGGATTTTATGAAATTGAAATGATGATGACGATGATAGTGAAGTTGAATATGCATTATCACTCCCATCTTGAAAATTTGGAAAGTTTATCTTTATTGGAAATTATCTATCTGTTTAGAGAAATCTATTTTGGGCTATTGGTGGAGGATAGCTATGATTGTTATAGAAATTGCATGAGAATTATGAGAATTGAAACTTATTTCTCATTCATTTGGATTGAGCATTATTGCATATTTAACACATTAAAAATGTATATCGTTTTGAGAAAAATGGGTAAATACCTTGGTGAATCTAGGTAGAGGGTGTGGTTTGTGGTGTTATGTTGGCCTGTATGTCCTTGGTGCAAGTCCAAAAACCCGCGCGGTTAGGTGCCAAGCCTTCCGGTTAGTATAGGTAAAAATGACAATTGGTAATGCTTGTATACTTGCAAATACGTTCCTAAAGATTCACAGTGTTGTATCCACTACCCTGTTTTCTATTGTAAAAGAAATGATTTCATGAATTGTAATATAAACCTGGCATTGTATGGTCTCGAAAAGAGATATAAAATGTTTTGGCACAAGCATTGCATATGCATTTACCTTATAGTTTTGTTAAGATTTATACATTGTGTTATAATATCTCTACTGGGTTTTGACTCACCCAATGCGAAAAATCATTTTAAGGTGCTGTTGATATACCTCTGCCAAGGCAGTAACTTAGAAGGACTTAGAGCCACGAGCTTCCTTTTTGTCATGGTTGCATTTTTTTTTTTGGTACAAACTTAGGGCTTTATATGTATTGAGTTTAAACTCACTTTTATTGTAAACAAGCATCGCTTTGGAAAGTTATAGCCTTTAGGGCATTTAATTATCTGTTTAACTTTTGATTCATATCTTTTACTTATGGCACATGTTATAGATTCAAGGTTAGGACTTATGAATGTATAATTGCATGTGTCGCCGTTTGTACAATTGAATCTTATGAGTGGAAAGACACCTTTATTTCAGAATGTGTTGTTGCTTGATAATTACTATGAGATGGTATTATTGTTAATTATTTTGGGGTGTTACAGAAACTATGAATGACTTTTGTTGCATATCAAGGCAGATAATCAACCTACAGAAATCTAAGATTTTAATTTCCCTCAATGTCAATAGAAATTTAGCTAAAGAGCTTAGTTTATAGTGTGGGATAAGCCTCACACAAGACCTTGGCAGATATCTTGGAGTTCCTCTCATCTATAGTTGAGTTAGCAGAAATATCTACAATGGAGTTATTAAGAAAATCTAGAAAAAGTTGTCTTCATGAAAGGCCGCTCAAGTGGAAGAGTTGACGCTCGAGCGTTAGACACAAAAAGTTGTTCCGCTCAAGCGCAAGCGTTGACCCGCTCGAGTGCAGAATACACACATCCAGTACTTTTGCAGATGATAGACAAACCGCTCGAGCGCAAGAAAGACCGCTTGAGCGCTTACCATCTCGAGTGTAGGAAACGTCATTCGAGCATGGAAAACACCCCTTCAGTACTCTTGCAGACATACGAAGTACTGAGAGTTTACAAATCCCGCTCGAGCGGAGGACCAAAATTCTGGACAACTCAATGTCTGAAAACTAAGCAACCAATTTATTCCAAATGCACAACTGCAATCCAATAACCAAAATAGAGGGGAGACAAGGGAAACAAGATATGAATCACCATTCAAAACCATACAAACACGAGTTCGGAATACAACAAGTGACGGGTCAAACTGGAATCGCTATATTCTTACATTATGCAAACTGCTAAACTCTTTCAAAGCACATGCAAACAAATTGACAAGCCAAATAGAAATTTCCTATGGGGTGATTAAAGGGGAAGGAAGAAGGTTCACTTGGTAAATTAGAAAGCAAGTCTGCGAGAGCAAGAAGGAGGATGTCTGGGGCTTAAGAGGGTTGAAGACCAAAACATTGCACTATTAGCCAAACTGGGCTGGAAAATAAATTTAAACAAAGAAGCTGCTTGGTCCAAAATTCTTAGAGGCAAATACCTTCACAAGCACACTTTTGCTAACTGGCCTGCTAATAAGAATGCTTCACAAACCTGGAGAGCATTATGAAGACTAGAGATATTCTGAAAAAGGGCGCTAAATAGACTGTTGGGAATGAGAAGAATATTTCTTTTTGGAAAGATTAATGGTGTGGGGATGGGTCATTAGCTTCTCTATTTCCAGGACCACATACCAATGGGGATGTTAAGGTTGTTGATATGCTTAATGAGGAAGGATGATGTCATCTGTCTGAGGTAGAGAATATTTATTTTACTACATTACGTGTTATAACAAATACAACAGGTATGTCTTCCACAATTTGTTGAAATGGTAGACAATCCCCATTGGATTGGATCATCTAGTGGTGGGTTCTCAGTTGGGGCTGCATATAATCTAATTACCAAGCAAGCTTCTAATTAGGATAATAGTTTGGTCAATTGGAGCTAGATCTGGAAACTGAAAATCCCTCAAAAATTGAAAGGGTTCACTTGGCTGCTGATGCTTAATAAAGTACTTACTAACCATCAAAAGATGATCATAGGTATCACCAACATTGATACATGCCCTAGATGCCAACTCTATTGGGAGGATCTGAACCATCTTCTGAGAGAATGTCATAAAGTTATAGAGATTTGGGAAATTCTTAGTAATCACACCTAGAGAATATCCAATGCTAACATGCCCTTGGATATCGGGCTCCAACACAGCATAAAGAGCAAAAGTAAAGAGTTCTCAAATGTCCCTTAGGGTACTGTTTTTGTAATTGCTTTGTGAAGATTATGCAAGGCTAGAAATAATGTGGTTTTTTAGACAAGAGGAATGCAATGCTCAAAAAATTGTGAGATATATTCATCAACAAGCTGTAGAAATTCATCATGCCTTTCAAACTGATCATTTCACATGTGATACTTTATTATATAAAACTAACCGGTGTTCTCCTTATGTAGGAAAAATCAAACTTAATGCAGATGGATGCTCCAAAGGAAACCCTGACCCTACTGGGTATGGTGGGCTGTTTAGAGATGCTAGAAGAGCCCAGATTCTTGGATACCATGGGAAATTGGAGTTAGCTACAAGTGAGGAAACTAAGCTTTGGGAATTTATAGAGGCCTCACTATTATCTTGGAGAAAAGAATGCAGGATATTACAATTGAAACAAATTCAGAACAAGTGGTGTTGAACGTCAACAACAAAACTCCCAGCAATTATCCACACAAAGCTTTGCTAGAAAACATCAAATTTCTTATGCTCAGATGCAATTGTGCTATTATTTACACTTTCCAGGAAGGGAGCAAGTGTGCTGATGGCCTTGCCAACATGGGCGTGAATCATGCAGAGAACCTAATAGTTTTAGATAACCCTCCAAATGAAATTGCAAGTCTACTAAGTGCAGACATAGTTGGAGTCTCTTTAGAAAGGGCTTAACCTGTTTAGCCATCTTTTGGTTTATTTTGTTTCTGTTGCATTGTTTTAAACTATTTCCATTGAATCAAAAAAATAAAAAAGAAGTTTAAGGATTTTATTAGAGCATCTCCAACGGTTTACTTCTTTTTTCATCAAATCTGAGTAAAAAATGATCCATTTCACCAAATCTGATATCACCCACTCCAACGGTGCATCAAATGTGCATCAAATGTCATGGGGCGACCGGTTGGTCAACTGGTGGGTTGATCGGTGGGTCGACCTGTATGCGTAAAATGCTATTATTTTTGTTTTACCCTTTTGAACGGTTTGAACCCAGCTTTCTGAACCGGGGAAGGGGACGACCGGTTAGTCGACCGGCGGGTCGACCGGTCAGCCTATATTTTTTTTTTCTTTCTTTATTTGTTTTCTTCCATTTCTGTTCCCAATTGTTTTTCCTATTTCTTTTTCCCTCCATTACATATATGTCTGCTATATGGATTATGCTCTCATATAAACCTATTATCCATATGCCAGACAAATACGATCATACCTTAAACAAAACAGAGCACCATGAATACCTTGAAATCCATGATATTTACTTCATTTTCATCCTCCTCTTTTTCCTCTTCCTCTGATGATGAGTCTGATGATGAATATATCGTCACACTTGTAGGAGCTTATGAGCAGAATAATACTTGTATGTTTCAGATTCTTAAGTCAAGTGATAGGTCAAAGAAGATAGGTGGTTCTGTTGTAGGTCATAGATATATACACAGAGATAGAAGGCAGGGTCATGACAGATTGTTTGCAGATTATTTTGCTGCAAATCCAATGTATTCACCTATAATATTTCGGAGACGTTTTCGAATGCGTCGTCCTTTGTATCTACGCATTTTGAATGCAATTCAAATACACAATTCATATTTTGTTAAAAAACAAGATGCAGCTTATGTACTTGGGTTATCTCCCCTACAAAAAATGACTGCAGCGATGAGAATATTATCATATGGTGTCGCAGCAGATGCAGTTGATGATTACATTCGTATTGGGGAAAGCACTGCAATTCAAAGTTTGCAACAATTTTGTAATTCAGTGATTGAAATATTTGGAGAAGAATATCTGAGATCCCCGACGCCAACTGACATTGCTAGATTACTTGCTATTAGGGAGGTTCGGGGGTTTCCCGGCATGTTGGGAAGTTTAGATTGCATGCATTGGGAGTGAAAAAATTGTCCAAAGGCATGGCAAGGTCTGTACGTAGGCCATCAAAAAAAGCCAACCATTATTCTTGAAGCAGTAGCATCTTATGACTTATGGATTTGGCATGCATTTTTTGGAATGCCTAGCTCACAAAATGACTTGAATGTGTTGGACCGATCACCTTTATTTTCTGATCTTGCGCAAGGTAAAGCTCCCCCTGTCCATTACACAATTAATGGACATAATTACGATATGGGTTATTACCTTGCTGATGGTATATACCCTCAATGGGCAACATTGGTTCAAACAATTTATTCTCCCCAATGAGCAAAGAGACAACATTTTGTAATGATGCAAAAGTCTGCCAGGAAAGATGTAGAGCGGGCATTCGGAGTCCTTCAATCTCGATTCGCAATTATACGTGGTGCTGTACGTTATTGGGATTCGAAAATGCTTGCCAACATAATGAAGAGTTGCATCATATTACATAATATGATTGTCGAAGATGAGAGGGAGGAGCACCTTGATTTCAATTATGATATTGCATCAACCAACACACCAGTGCAACTTTCCTCTACTCCTACCAATGACTTCCAATCATTTCTGTCTCGTCATTTAGGTATTAGAGATAAGGATGCGTATCATGCCCTCCGTAATGATTTAGTAGAACATATGTGGTATTTTCGTGGTGAACACTAAATTAACCACATCAATACATGTAATTTTGGTTTATAGTTTGGAATTGAAGGTTCTCTTGTTTGTAATATTTATTATGATGCAGTATATGAACTAAGTAATTCAGAAGTTATGCGATGATGTCCTGTTATCATATTCAATCTTTAATAGTCAAAATTGTGCAGTGTATAGGGGTGCAACTCGGGCGGGTTCGGTCGGGTTGGAGGTCTGCCCAAGCCCGACCCGAATTGTATTTGGCACTGCCCAAGCCCGCCCAAGCCCGACCATGAACCCGAACATTGTTGCCCAAGCCCGGCCCAAGCTTTGTATTTTGAACTCGGGTTGCCCGAATTGCCCGAATTGCCCGAGTTCAGAAACCTGTAGGTAGATCTAAGGGTAGACATAAAAGATGCTAATCTAATGGTAGAAAACTAACCAAAAAAAAATAAAAAATAAAAATTAAGACTAACTCTTTTACTTAATAGAAGACTAACCAAAAAAAAAAATTAAAATAAAAATTAAGACTAACTCTTTTACTTAATTTATATAATATATTAAATTGAATTCGGGTTCGGGTTGCTCGGGTTGGCCATTGGTTCTGCCCAAGCCCGGCCCGAATTGCAATTCGGGCATCAAAAATCTGCCCAAGCCCGTCCAGATTACAAGATATAGTTGCCCAAGCCCTAAAAAAACTCGGGCTGGGCTCGGGTTGCTCGGGTTGAGCCCGCCCGAGTTGCACCCCTAGCAGTGTATGAACTAAGTAAAATAAAAATGATTTTCCTAAATTATGTGTTGATGTGCCACAAATGATAATACCACGTCCATTTATGCACATTTCATAATCATGTCTTAAATGGTACTTTAATAATAATATATTAAATTACTGATGGAAATGTGTATAATCATAATGTGTTCAATTATTGATGTTGACTTGCATAATCATAATGTCTTCTTTTACTGATGTTGATCTGCATAATCATAGTTTATTAATAATGTCTCATTTATGTATTCTTCACTCAAGGTCAATTCTTAAATTACTGCATTGTTGTATACAAATTTATTGATCTTCAATTACTGAGCAACAAGTAATTTAATAATACCACAAATTTATTCAAATTTATTGATGTGGCATTGATTTACTGATATTGATCTTCCCATTCATTTATTACCTCACTTAAAATGCATTCAACATACATAGTTAAAAAATACATAATAATTCATTCATTTAGTCAGTAGATAAATTCATTCCACCTACAAATCATAATGTCTTCAATTATTTATGCACACATTGCATACGTAATTTCCCCAACACCTACCATTCAATTTACAGACACCACCTATCAATGACACCTACCATTCAATTTACAGACACCACCTACCATTCATTGAATGCATGCCATCTACCATGCCTCATTTTTCATACGGCATATGGTTGTTGAGTAGTAATATCCTCACCACCTACTTGAAGAATGGAGCCTCTATATCAGCTCAAAAAATATGGCCAACCTTCACTGAATACCATTGCTTGTCTGTCCACAGATTGCCTCTAACAACACAGTCAGTGTATTCCTCCATCCACTATCTTCAAATTCGGCTTAACCAAAATCTAATCCCAAACTCTGAATAAGTGTGATTCCACAGACTGAGCAAGGGAAACATCTGAATCAGGAAAGGCAGGACCAGAACAAGAAGGCAGGGCAGCATCCAAAGAGGATTGAAAGGCACGGGTCAACCGGTTGGTCAACCGGCCCTGTTTATTTTATTTTTTTTCTCTTTCTTTCTTTCAGTGTGTATGCTGTATATTTGAAGTTTGTATGCTGTATTTGTTTAATTTTATGTTTAGTTTGTTCAACTTTAACTTTCTCAAGAGCATGGAATTCATTTTTGAATCAAACTTCATGTTTAATATTTTAAAACATAAAACTGTTCAACTAGATGCACTTCATGTTTAATATTTTAACTGAAGGTGTAAAAGGGAAACATGGATAAAATTCTAGTGAGGAAAATGTCTGTCAACTAGATGCATTTTTACACTGCTCTAAGTTACATTTTAAATAAATTTTGGTGTATGTGGGATTGATATTGTCCCAAGTTTTGAATTTCAGTCTCCCTTCTGCTATTTTATTTCATTTCCTTAACTCCTAGTGATTTCTGTCAACCATGACTGATTTCTGAATTTGAGTCTCACTTCTACACTGCTCTAAGTTACATCCATTTTATTCAGCATTTTCCTATGATGTTATATTCCTGATTATATGCATATTGGCATAGGATGTTTTCAGGATTACTGATGTTTTTTAGATTAGTATGCATACTGAAATATGGTACTATTTTTCCATTTTAATATGCATGGTAATATTAAAAGTATATTCATTTGAAATTCAACAGATTTTGACATCATGCCTAGAACTAAAAGAGCGAGACCACGAGTTGGTGAAAGTTCCAACCCTTCACGACGCGAAGAACAACAGCCTCAAATGCAGTCATATCCTACTGATGATTTTCTCACTGAAAGTCATGCACTAGCCTTTCCAAACTTTTCTGCCCGACCGATTGTAACAGGGAGAAGGGTAAATCTTCCATCTCAATATGATGCACTATTAATTAGTAAACTTGAAGCAATGGGATGGAAAAACTTAATTAATTTGCCCCAAAAGGTATATCCACGGTTGGTAGCTCTATTTTATGTTCACCTAAGAGCTACTCAGGAATAAGATGGAAATTTTACTCTTTTGTTGTATGTGAAAGGAAAAGGTATACAGTTTGATATTCTTACTTTGGCAAGCATTGTTGGAGTTGAGTTAGGTGATGAAAATATTCATTTTCAGACTGAGGGTGAGTTAGCTAATATTGTTGATAATGCTACTGATGTCTTTACTACTATTTGTCGGAATAGATTTACTGGGACTAGTTTACAAGCAAGACATTTAAAACCTCATCTTCGGATTCTCCACCGGTGGATTGTAGAAAATGTCACTCCAAGAAAAGAACACCATGATGCAGTCCCATATTTTAATGCCTATTTGTTATACTGTTTTGAAATTGGTCAGAAGGTAGATTTGTGTTACATAATTATGAAAGAAATGGTACTGGCAAATCAAGGTCAATTCACAGGTCAGTCATTACTGTTTAGGGCACTCTTAACAAAAATTTTCAAACATTTTAAGGTTCACCTTGCAGATGAAATGGATATCAAAATCCGTTCACCTATTAATCAGTGTACAGTGACCCGTGCTGGTGCAGCCTCCAATTTAATGGGAAGTGACAATGCTTTAGAAGATTCAGAAAATGAAGTCCCAGAAGATCATGCTCCACAAGATCCTCATGCCAATTTGATGCCATCAACTAAACAACCTCAATATTGGACTGAGTTTTTGGCCATGGAAGAACAACGTTATAAACAACGTGTTCAATGGGAACAACAAATGACTAATCAGGTCAATTCGTTGGGTTGTCAGTTTGATACATTTGCCACTACACAGAACTCATTAATTCAACAATTTGGTGATTTCCGTGTGGACATTGAGCATTGCGTAGATACGATTGAGCATCGTGTAAATGATATATACCAGCACTACTACCCTTCTCCACCACCACCACCAGATAATTATAATCAACCCGTTCAATGGGAACAACAAATGGCTAATCAGGTCAATTCGTTGGGTAGTCAGTTTGATACATTTGCCACTGCACAGAACTCATTAATTCAACAATTTGGTGATTTCCTTGTGGTCATTGAGCGTCGCGTAGATACGATTGAGCATCGCGTAAATGATATATACCAGCACTACTACCCTTCTCCACCACTACCACCAGATAATGACTTTTGATGTGTTTCACATTATGTATTTGTATTGGTTTGTATTTTGTTATTTTAAAAACCTTTTGTTGGGTCAATTTGTTATGACATTGGCCTATGCAGTTGTTATCACTTTATATTGTAGTTTTCATTTTAATGCCTAGTTGACAAAGGACATGATTATGTACATCCTGAAAATTCGACAACAAGGTCATTATCCAGTTATGATTCCTCTTGTACAAATCATGTTATAGTAGTCAATGACTTCACTTTAAATATCATTTTATAGAAGAGGAGGTTAATTAAAAAAAAAAAACACATTGAACTACAGGCCAAAGATCTGTCTATGCAAAAAACATGGCAAGAATTAGGTATTGAACTTGAAATATGGCAAAAATACATATCAGGGAAAATTCATAAAACCAAAAAAACTAACCAATACACGTTAGACGTAATATTTTTAAATAATAAAACCAATACATAAAACCCACAAATACGGAACCTTTCAAGGCAATCTATTAGTTGTTCGAAATAAAATCTGTCGGTGAAGATCTTAGTAGTACGCCTTTTGCATAGGATTTAAATTTGTCATGTCTATTGACATAATTTTATGATCTTCATTTCGTTGTTCTCTTTCATTCATCATAGATAGGAGTTTTAGTTGTTCTTCCCTATCTTTGGCCCTTCTTCGACGCTCTGCAGCCTTCTGCGCACGGTCTATCGCCTTTTGTTCATCTCGCTGAATAGTTCTAGCAGAGATAGTTGATGACACTTCAACAATTTTGGATTGGTTAGTAGCCATTTCATCAAATCTACTATCGTGCGTTGTTTGATTCTTCAACTTCTCTTTCGCGACCTTAGTACCAATTGGTCGTGTTGATGTATTAGATGGTTGTTCGTGCACCGCATTATTCTGGTTGGATTGAGAAGCCTCATATTCACTTGGTGGATTCGAAGATGGATCACCATGTTGCGTGCTTCTTTTAGGTTGTGATCGAAATTCATCCCACTTACAACTTCGGCGCAAAATATCCCAACATGTATCAAATGTGAAGTGTTTTTTTTGTATTGCATGACACATCCGCTTCGCTTCAGCGACCTACAAAAAAAAATTACAAACATGTCAATAACAAGTATACATTTAGAAAAGAAAATTGATATTTAATAACACAAATAAATTTTACCATGTCTGCCTCAGTTGTTCCACTTTGTTGCCTCAGTTGAATTTGTTCAAGAAAACCACAAAATTTATTAATTGCCTTTTGTATGGCTGACCAACGGTGAGTCAAAGAAATACGATTTCGATTTGATTCACTGCTCAATTGTGAATTGAAATAAACAAGTACTCGTTCCCAAAATATAGCCATACTCTGACTATTACCAGTAATGGGATCTTGAGAGACTGCTAACCAAGATCTACATAAAGTTTCATCTTCTACTTGGTCCTGGTTAATTTCGGAGCTATGGGTGGTAACAATGATATTGGCACACACAATAAGATTGAGCAATCTAAATTAATGAGTGTTGTGCTCAAACATTTGTGATTCCTCAAACATTTCGAAATCTTCCATAGTTTAGAAAAAATACAATACACTTACTGAAAAATATTGTAATGATATGAAGCTCAAATTCAGAAGCAGATAATATTAATTAAAATTTCAAGGAAAACAAATATCTAATGACTGAAAAGAAAAAAAATTCACAATATATAAATGCTATCCTGAAAATGAAACACTATATCAGCTTGATATAGAAATGAGATCTATTTTATAGAGCATATCATCAACGGTAAATTTTCAAAATACTCTGTCCATTTACTGTCCATCTAACGGTAAATTATTATAACGGCTAGTTATGAAATATGTATGTCAAATATATAGCAAATTTAAATTTATATCACCCTTCAAATTATTGGTAATCCACAAATGAACATATGTCCAAAAAAATCAGCTCAAACAAGTTGAAACAACCAGTTCAAACCTGTTCTTGCAAACCTGTTCTTCCAAGTTGTGCGCTGTGCGGAATTGCCCAACCCGGTCGACCGGGTGGTCAACCGGCCGGCCAACCGGGTGGTTGACCGGTTGCTCTCGAACGGTTAGCAGTTCAAACCAACAGTTCAAACCAACCAGCTGAGGATTCAAACGAACCAGGGGCTAAAATAGTGCACCGGTCGACCGGTTGGTCGACCGGTTGGTCAACCGGCCAGGCAACCGGTTGGTCGACCAGGACCTCCCTCCAACGGTCACCAACAGTGTTTTGGTGAAATCAGTATCTGGTCGTCAGTTTGATGAATTGGTTGATGAAATCTCAATCTGATATGGATTTGGTGCAACCATTGGAGTAGTGAACAGTAACTTTTTCATCAAAATTTGAATTTGATATCAAGTTTGATCAAGCGTTGGAAATGGACTTAGAGATGATGATGATATGAATCACAGGCTTCACAGCATTAGGGAAAACAAACACAAAAAATTATTATCAAGCAAACAGACCCTAAAGCACGTGTAGGCTTGGCCTTTGGACTCAAATCACATGTATCTCATTACATCACACAGCCCATAAAAATCTATGGTCCACATCTGCCCCTGCCCATTGAATCCAATCAAATTCCCATACAATCCCTAGGAAGCCCAAATCCAAAGCACCGTTGGATCAATCACTGATTGCCACGTACCCTACACCCTCAAGCTTCATAAGGGGCATTTTCGGAATCACGATAATTTGATACAATACTACGCCCATCCCAACCCTCTTTCTTCTCTTCTCTCGTCTATCTTTAAATGGACACACGGCACTGCGAAAGCAAAACCCTAGAATAGGCCCATTCTCTCTCTCTCTCTCTCTCTCTCTCAATTCACCCAAAATCATCAAACAATACAACCCATTTTTCGCATTTCCACAACAAAAAATCTCTCTTTCTCTTTCTCTTTTTTCATGTTTTTGTTTTTCGTACTGCAGGTTTAGATAGAAATTAAAGAAGGCTTTCTTTGTTTTTGATTTGTTGGCGTTGTGGGTTTTGCTTCGATTGTGTGTTTCTTGTTTTTTTTTGGTTTTGTTTTCTCTAATGGTGGTTGTTTCTGTGTTCTCATGAAATTAGGGTTTCGTCCTAAGTAAGTGTGGGATTTTTCGCAGACTCGAACATCTCTGTGAGTACCAACTCAATCTGTTTCCTTCTTTTTTGAGATTTTATTTGTATTTATATTTATCTACTGTTGTTCTTGGCTTCACTGTCTATCTATGCGGTGTTGGCTTTATATGCTTACAATTGTTTCTGTGAATTAGATTTGATTTATAATTTCTGTACGTTCTTGAGATCTGTTTCTTTTCTATAGCAAAACGAAGTGGAAAAAAAAAAGGTGTACTTTCCTGAGAAACCTGGTTTAGTTTTAGGAAATTTTTTTTTTTTTTTTTTTCCCAAGAAAATTTTAATGTGAGTTTTTCTGGGCGTTATGGAAAATATCCATCTGAATGCATGGAGTCCTAATATATGCAACTGAAATTTATGTTTTTCTCTGATTGGGTGACCTCCTGTGCAAGAGGCGGGAGGTGGGGTTCGATTGTGCTGTCAAAGCAAGCAAACTTTAGGGATTGATGATTCGTTTTGTGCTGCGAAGTACCCTTTGTGGTTTTCTGTTTGTGTTCACGGGTTCAGACATTTAGGAGGTTTTGTTTGTCTCTTACAAATTTCCTTTTATGAGGTTGTGGTTGCAATTGCGAGTTTATAGAGGATGAGTAATGGTAGTTGCTAGTTTATGTTAGATAGTTGTGTGGTTTGTGCCTTTGTACATGTAGTGGCGGCGGTGGCAGCGGCAGTTGGAATGCTGAGTAGTTTATTGATGTTCGAAGTGGTGTTGGTGTTAGGGGGACTTTTTTTTTTCCCCTTCTTTTTAAGTATGAATGTATTTAATTAGAATTGTTAGTGGAATGATCTAGCTACTAGGTTGTGTTTGCTTAAAGGTTTGTTATTATGGAGGACTTTTTTATGGCACACATTTCCTGGGGAAAAATGTTTGATTAGCATTTGCGGTGGTGGGGCTAACAGTGTTGTGATGATATTAGGGTTGTGGGAATGATTGTGGAATGATTGTAAATGTATTGCTAGGTACTTACAAAATTATCTGCAGAGTAAACAGTTAGTAGTTAATAAAGGAAAAGTTGCTCTTAACAGATTGGTTACAAGGAAAAAAGTTTTTTGAGCTTAGCTCTCTCTTTCCCCAATTTTGATGATATTAGGGTTGTGGGAATGATTGTGGAATGATTGTAAATGTATTGCTAGGTACTTACAAAATTATCTGCAGAGTAAACAGTTAGTAGTTAATAAAGGAAAAGTTGCTCTTAACAGATTGGTTACAAGGAAAAAAGTTTTTTGAGCTTAGCTCTCTCTCTTTCCCCAATTTTTATTTATTTATTTTATTTTTATTTTTATTTTTTTTATGTTATTTGGTTTTCCTATTGTGTTTAATATTGATTTATAAATAATATTATTTTTTATTTATAGTTAATATTTGAATAATATTAATTTACTTAATTGTTTTAATAGGTAACATTTTACCTGTTTTTACCTTATGCATTGATTGTGGTAGGTCACTAGGGTTGAAAAGACATGATGCATACATGCACTCGTTTTTGTTTTACTAATCTTTGTTCATCTATGGAATCATTTTGAGTGGTGCAATTTGTAACGATTGATGTTTTTAACATTTTAATCAGGTTGAGTTTTTGCTAGAAAAGGAACAGGAATTATGAAGACGCAATCATCGTATCCGGTCCTTGACAATCGACCGATTGATCAGTGGAAGGTGACAGAACTAAAAGAAGAGCTTAAGAGACGGAAATTGGTGACAAAGGGGTTGAAAGATGATTTGATAAGACGCTTGGATGAAGCATTGCGAAATGAAAATGATTCTGCTAAGGAAGATATAGATAATGGTCTTGATGGTACTCCCCCACCTGTGATGGAGACTGGAGATGCAGGGACAGTACAGGTTGTTTCTGAAACAACTGTGGACATGATTGATCACGGTAATAACAGAAATGAGGTGGATTGTGCAATGGATCAGGCTCATGTTGATGATACTGCAGTGACTTTGAGTGAAGGGAAAGTTCAAGAGGAAGAAACAGGTGGTATTGATTCTGCTACGAACGAGGAGATGGTAGTTCATGCAACTTCTAAGGAAACTAGCATGACAGTGAATGAGAATGTGGTATCTGAAATAGCTGTGAATGTACAAGAGTCAGAGAGTGTGGTATCTGAAGTAGCAGTGAATGCACAGGAGTCAGAGAGTGTGGTACCTGAAGTCGCAGTGAATATGCAGGAGTCGCAGAGTGTGGTATCTGAAGCAGCAGTGAATATGCAAGAGTCACAGAGTGTGGTATCTGAAATAGCAGTGGATGTGCAAGAGTCACAGAGTGTGGTATCTGCAATAGCAGTGGATGTGCAAGAGTCACAGAGTGTGGTATCTGAAATAGCAGTGGATGTGCAAGAGTCACAGAGTGTGGCTTCTGAAATAGCAGTGAATGTGCAAGAGTCACAGAACAATGACTCCCAGAATGAGAGGGGAGATTCGAAATCCCAGATGGAGAATGAGGACATAAAGCCTCATGAGGATGTCGGACTCAACTCTTCTGAGCCTAACAACCAGGTATCTGAGGTCAGCACTGTTTTAGGGTTTCAAGTAAAATCTGATTCTATTTCTAGTGATTGTGTCTCAATTAATGAAAAAAATGAACTAAAGGATAATATAATTGCTGATAATGTCAAATTAGAACTAGATGTTAAGCCTGAGATGGTCCTGCCATCATCAAGCAATGTTCTCCCAGTTCCAGATGGTGGCAAACTGCATCCAGTGGATGTTGAAGAGCCAGTCCCAGATGGTGGCAAACTACATCCAATGGATGTTGAAGAGCCACATTTTAACAAGGTACAAGTTGAGGAGAGAGATGACAAGGCTGATAATGCAGAGATGAGCAAGAAAAATGATATTGCAGATGTGATTTCTTCCGAAAAGTTAAATTTGGACCGAAGTTCTGGTGATGATTCCATGGAGGATGATGCATTGGAGAGTAAACAAATAGATTCCAAGTATAATTTGGATGAAGTGGGTGATAGGAGTGAGAAAATTGAAGTGACTATGGCAAAGGAGGAAGCTCCTGTAGATGTTATGCAAGATGATATTCATGTGGAGAAGAAAAACATTCATGATGAAAACAAGAATGTCTCTGCTGCAACCACTGTGAAAAGAAAGATTCATGGTAAGCTTTTTCCTGTAGTATTTCCCCATCTATCACATTTTGTCCACCATCTACATGTTTTCTGTATTTTCATTCACTTGTTCTTGTACATTTTAGTGTTGTCCTTTGCTAGCTAAACTGGTTTTATGTAAATTGCATCGTTGTTGATTGCAGTCTTTTTATCATTGTTGACAGCAGTTTTAGCATCTTCATCTACTTTGAGGCTCTTGTATAAAACTGCAGTCATTTTGTCTTGATTTATAACAGATGCTTTATGTCCATAGCTTCCATTACCCTTCTGTCAATTTTTTTTATCCCTTATGTGGCTGTAAAAGCAGTAGTAACATTAGAGAAGGCACAGAGATGAACAAGATTTGGGTAATGTGGCATGTGTGATTTGCTTGCTTGGTACTTGGTAGCTAAGAAGCACAGACACTTCTAAGAAGGTGACATATCTGTGTCGGACACTGACATTCTTTTTGGACACTTCCCGACGCGAGTCCGAAACTCGTCAAAACGTGTCCAATTTTTTAATTTTTTTTTTAAAGACTCAGATGCTTTTCGGACACTTTGACACACGTCTACCGCTTAAACACGTGTCTATCGATTAGACACGGGTGAAATTAATCATAAGTTTGAACAAAACAACTTAAGATACAATAATAAAAGAAAAACCGTATAGATTTATACAAATTACTAGCTTGGTAGTGTTTTGCCTTACCTCTCAGGAACTCTGGACCTATGGGTTTTCCACCAGGCTTCATACAATTTAAACCTAGATAAGGCTAAAGTCTGAAGTGCTCAAACTATTATGCAAGTATGGGTTCTTGAACACAAAGCTCTCATGTGCTGTCTATGAAGCAATTAATTTTATTTTAAAATATTTTTGTTGTGATTATTATTATTATTTTACAAAATGGCATAATAAATAGCTTGTGTTCTCTTTTGTCCTATAATATTAGTTTGTGCTCCTCTTTTGTCCTAAAATATTAGCTTTCTTTTTTCTTTAATAATTAGCTTGGTATTTATATTTTTTAACTTATGTTGCTGAGCGTTATTTTTGCTGCTTTGTTGGCTTCAATGTTGGAGAGATATTATAGGGAAATTTATGCTGTATGTTATAACTTAAGTGAACGGCATGCCTTGTGAAATGCTGGTATGGGGCAACAAGATTAGTGTTGATTAGGCAAGTAGTTTGCCAAGGATGCAAGATAAATCCCGGTTACTAGCGGCAAGAGCCTAGCTGTGCCATTAATAAGGTCATAGTATGGTCGAAGGTATACCCTCATGGTAGGCTACAATTGACCCTGCTATTATAGCTTCATCCACATTCGTAATGGAAATACTTATAAAGTTGGGTCATATTCTTTACTTATCAAAAAAAAAAAAGTGGGTCATATTCTTTGACAAGCATTTTGACCATTGGATGTATTGGTAGGTGTTTAAGTTGAGTAGATAAGCAAATTTGTTACATCCAGTCTAGTTTTGCTGCCTTCTACTTTTTCCATCCAACTATTCAGGTCCCATCAAAATTGATCTGCAGGAATAAACTGATGAACTGTTGATGCTTTAATTTGACTCTTTGTGAACTCTGATTTGTTTATATGTATATCATCTATGCCAAGCTGCTTCTTGTTGATTTTAGATTATTTTAATGCTGGATGAATAAGCAGAGTTTGGGTTTTGTGTAGTTGATTCTTTTTGGTTAAGGGAATCCTAAAATGCACATCTGGTTTGTAAGTCCAGTTAAGTTTGATTCTAAGTTGATTGAATGAATGCAAGAACTAGATTGTCTTGAAATTGGAATTTTGTAGAACCGGAGATAACTGAAGTAAGCTTGAGAGAGCTTAGGTTTATTAGGTTTGACTTGTTCAGTTTTGTCAAAAATGTTTTGTCCTTGTGATTATTTTAACAAGATTTTCACTTGGAAAAAGTCACTTCTCTAGAATCTTTGCTCCTTTGTTTCTGTTTTTAAAAATCTTTCATATGTGATTTTCTGTTTTAAAAACTTGAAAAAACAACCAAATTGGGATGCATTTTTTCTTTCTTTCTTCAGTTGCTTGTATTTTCTGATGGCTTGGTGTTTTTGAAAGCAGCTCTTGGGATACCTCTTAATTTAAAAATAAACTGCTCCCCACTCTCACCACTCTTCATGTGAGTGGGGAGTAGTTTAGTGTTTAAATTAGTTGTCAAATTGTCAATATCTTTTTCCTTTTGAAAATGCATTAAACTGCTTTTGGTAATTTCCTGAAAATGGGCCATTTTCTGGAATTTCTTTCAGGCTTACTTTTCTAATGTGGTCCACCAAGCCCATTATGTGTCATTTTTATTTTGTTTTGTTGTGAAAGGGGAGAATTAGATGGGTCAGAAAATACTTGCTTTATGTCCAACAATTATACAGATTTATGTGTTCTAATGGGCGAGGTTGTCAAATGTGAGAATAGGCTTGAGTATGAGAGTAGTTAGGGTTAAAAACTCAGGCTGCCAAATGTGAGATTGTAGGTTTGAGTATGAGAGTTGTCACTTTGGGCAAATAATGCCTTGGTTTGGAATGCAAACAACAATTTACAAATTCTCTTTATTTTCCTTTAAATTGTGGAACTGTGATTAATTAAAAAAAGCATCAAGCGGGTGTGTTGTCCGTGTACAAAAAAAATGAAAAGAATACATCTTTCAAAATCTTGCAAGGAAGCAAAAACCAACCAACTATATATCTGGAACTACTGAATATTTTTTTAATAGTTTAAAACTGATACTGAACAGAACTACAAAACTAAAAAAATTGGCTCAAGGATGTGTTTAAGCCACCCAAGACGAAAAAGAAAACTGAATCCGGAAAACAGGCTCCACCCCTTCAAAGGTTCGATCATTCTGTTCCTTCCAAATTGTCCACATGAGTGGCAATGTACTCTTATCTGCCATAGTATATCCCCAAGAGAAAAGGAGACCTGCCATGTTCTTCGGGAAAACCCAACTCACACCAACCAAGCCAAGAATTACAGACTACAAATCATAAGCCACCTCACAATGGATAAGGAGGTGGTTAATAGATTCTCCGTCTTTACATACAACACCAATTCACTTGGACATGACTTCTCAAATCATCAATAGAAGAATCATCCCGTGCGCTGCCATCCAAGCAAAAAATGCCACTTTTGTTTGAGCTTCCGACGCCAAAACACTCCTCCATGGTTAGTGCCAACCGGTGTTGCCTAGCATCACATCATAAAAGTGCTTCACTTCAAACCTGACAGATTTGATTCCCATCCATATCATTTCATCATAATAACCTTGCTCCACCACAAAAAGCATAAAAGTGATTTAGGAGCTCCTCTATAATTATGGAACGACATGTGTTCTCAAGCTTCTGTAATTGTCATTTCTTAGTGTTAAATGTGTGAAATCCACATGTAAATACATGTTTTTGAAATATAAACCAACTAGGCTCATTTCAGTTATTTGTTTTGAGGTTGAAAAAGAACAACTTAAAATAACATGGGAAGAAACCCATATATTGGTAACTTGCATTTTTGAAGATCTCAGTGGATGATAAATGGATGAGAATAAAGATCTGAAGGAATTATATCAAGTTGATCTTGGATTAACCTTGATTGTTTCTGCTTATTAGACAGATGGGCTGGGATAGTTGTGTGACTCACCAATTTGTGTTCACGATGAAGGACACTAGTAATATTATTTGGTATAGATAGTTTTGGCATTCATTTTGCCAAATAACTGATGACTCGTCACTCGGTTTGCTTTGGAAGTTCATATCTATGTGATTTCTATTTTGTAGGAATATTTGACGGTTTCCTACCTTTTGTGGCTTACATACCTGGTTTACGTGCCAAATAACTAAAGGCTTACATGCCTGATTAGAAACCTAAGTGTTTTAGGTGCCAAATAACTAAATGGCTTAAATGCCTGGTTTCCTACCTTTTGTGGCTTATGCATGCAAAGACACTAGATTGCTTTCCTTCTACTTTATTAAACATGAAATTAGTCTTACATTTTATATGTTTACTAGTGAGCAGTGACTTTCTTCGTGTTTATCAACTGGGTTTCTTTTTGTCACCTTTGTTTAATAAGCTGCCTTTCACAGATCAAGAAGTTGTTGGGAACAATGAGACTTCCAAGAGGCAAAGGAGGTGGAATTCTGAAAACCTTAAAGTTCCTGAACCTCAAAGCAACCTTACATCTTCTACTACACCTAAGGATATGTTCCCATTGAAGCGCAACTTCTCTAGATCGGACTCTACAGCTAGTGACGATGCACCTAAGGAACGTGTTGGTGAGTTGTCATGTTTTTTGCAACCTAATGTTGTCATAAACAGTAATGATTGCTTTGGCATCAGAATATCCTCACTTTGTTCTTCATTTGACAGTTCCACCTTCGCCAAAGCCTCCTACCAATTCTCTAAGAATTGATCGTTTTCTGCGTCCATTCACCCTAAAAGCTGTGCAAGAACTTCTAGGAAAGACTGGTTCTGTTACCAGTTTCTGGATGGACCACATCAAAACCCACTGCTATGTCACTGTGAGTGATTACTCTCTCTCTCTCTCTCTCACACACACAAGCACACACACACCATTTATGTGTTTATGCACAAGAATTCGTGTATGTTTACCATTATTCCTATGTTTGATGTAAATTGGTAGATCTCTGGGCACATGGTGAAGTGCATTGTTTTTGCACTTTCCATATCTTTGAATCCATTGGAATCACGAAAATTCAGGTGTGAATAGTCACTAACTTCTTTTTTGTTTTTTTGGCAATTACTTTCTTGATGCAGTATGCTTCTGTGGAAGAAGCCATAGAAACTCGAAATGCTGTATACAACGTACAATGGCCTTCTAATGGAGGACGCCTTCTTGTGGCTGAGTTTGTCGACCCCCAGGAAGTGAAAGTGAGAGTGGAGGCTCCTCCTCCTCAGTCACCAGCAACACCTGTCAGTACCGGGCCCACCATTCCTCCAGCTGCTCCACCCCCCTTGCAGCCCCAACCTCCTTCCCGGCAGCAGGTTCAGCGGCAGCAGCTCCCACCTCCACCTCCTCTTCCACCTCCGCCACCTCTGTCTAACCCTCCTCCGGCAAGGGAACGACTTCAACTTCCACCCCCACCTCCGCTGCCCGAGAAAGTTGATCCTCCAATCGTCACTCTGGATGATCTCTTTAGGAAGACCAAAGCGATCCCACGTATCTACTACTTACCGTTGTCTGACGAACAAGTTGCGGCAAAGTTAAAGTCGCAGGAAAAAGGCATCAAGCAGTAGGGATTAGGCTGTAACTTAAACTCAGCCTCTGCTATTCGGATTTTCTAAATGGTTTCGTCAGTACGTAATATTAAATGGTAAGAAAGTATCATATAAATTGCGTCTTTGCAGGTCTGCTGGTGGTGTTGCTTGTAGGGAAGAACTGTTCCCGGCAAAGATGGTACGGAGGAGCAGGTTCAAGTTCGGTGATGGATTTTGGGTTTTTTCTCCAAGAGTGCTTAGGGTTGAGACTGAGTTTAATTTAGGTTTAGAAATGAACCCCACAAATCGTTATTTCTCTCTTTGTGAGTGGATTGGAACTCAACAATGGTCTCTGTTTTCATCTTTTCCTAGAGGTCCTACTTTATTGGAACTTAAATTGCTACTTTTTAACTGATGAGTCTTGGCATATGGATCATTATGGATGATGTTGGGAATTATTATTGGGCAGTGCTGTAGCTTAGATGATGGTTCTTAGTATGATGAGGAGCTATGTCATGTAAAATCTCCATTATTGTTTTTATCAGAGAATAGCATCTTCTAGTTAGAAAAACCAAATTGCAGGGCTGAGTTACATGTATGCTTGGTACTGGTAAGAGATTGGTAGACCCTTCCATGTTATCTATTCCCTGGGTTTCCAGGGTTTCTTTGTGGCTTTTGATGAAGAAAGAAGAAAAGAGAGAGGATATAGATCAGCTAAATTTCTGTATTTTTAGTAGTTTTCATCTTCAAAGCCAGTTGATCAGCAGCTTTCCTTTTTTGGAGGAACTTTCTACTTATTGTCACGTTGGGAGTGGGTTAGATATATAACTTTAATTCTTAAGAAAAGAAAAATGCCGTGGCGTGTCATGGTGGAGAGGGAGGGAGAGAGTTGATTCACAATGAAGTGTTACAAGCGCATTCATATCACAGAAACAGTGAAAATAAAATGGCGTACATTTATATTTGAAATTTTTAACCCACAACAAAATAAATAATACTTACAATAATTGCGCAAGTATTCTTATGGATGCATTTTTGTGCATTATTATTCCTATCAAATCTTCCGACACAACTTAAAAGCATTGTCTTTTTAAATTTGAAATTGAAATCCTTAATTTCAAAATTGTGGATCAAAATGCAATATCATCTTTTTTGGAATCAAAATGCAACGTTAAACTTGGATGCTGTTGTCATCGGAAGGGTTAAATTTTAGAAGAGTGATACAATTAACTCGAGAGGTCCTCGGTGCTTACACGCAACAAAAGTTCATTGTTTGGCTAAAATAATCTCTCTTTCAATGAAAGTACGCAATTATTAAATTATGTGTGAATTTGTTGAATTATGCGAGAATTTTGAGAGATAAATCTTGAGTTATTAAATTATGGGTTATTTTTATTTAGATATTTTTAATAATTATTTAAATTTGAAATATTAATAAAATTCATTTGTAAAATAAATGGCCTTTTTTAACAAATATTTTAATTTAAGTCCCCAAGAAAGAAGTATATATATATGTGTTTTTTTTTAAAAATTTTTTATAAATGGACATATTTGGTTAGACTGGATAAAAACTCCTTATTATAAAACTCAATCCAAAAATTAAATAGGGTTAAAACTTCAGCTTAATCCGATCTTATGAACTAAATAATTTTTTCAAATCTTAAAAATATTGAATTGAGTTGGGTGGGTTGAACGGGCCATCGAGCCATGGCCACCCCTAATCACCACTACCATTGACCAATAGATATTGTTTGGTAAGCTCTAATCACTTTTCTATCGAGCTCCGGTGATCAGATGAATGGCCATCCCTAATCACCATTACCATCGACCAATAGATATCCTTTGGTAGGCTCTAGTCCCCTTTTTACCGATCTCCAGTGATCAGATGATCATCACACATGACCTTTTCTATCATATTTTAGTGGTTTATGACTATTCTGTAAACTTTGACAATACTATAAGCACCACCAATTTTGGTGGTTACTTTTGACCACACTTACTTCACTATTGGTTGCCTTTCATAATTAGTCACTCCATTTATCATTTTTTTTAAAAATATTTATTTATTTAAATAAAAAAATAGAAAATAAGAATCATAATGTTGTCAATGCCACCTAAAAATGTTTAATAAACCTTAAGAGATTGGTTTAGTGGGTGTAGTTTAATATTTGAGGGTGTACTTCTTCGAGATCCTAGGATTTAACTCTTACTAGAGGCTATCAACTCTTTGATGCCACACACCACAGATTGCTCGATGCACGTAGAGGGGGCGTTTTATCTAAGTCTTGAATTAGCCTTATTTATATGAATAAAAAACTAAACTTGAGGTCAAAAAGAATGAAGCAGAAGTAACTTTGGCTTCCTCCTATTATGGATATATGCTTTCAATAATGTGTTTTCATGTCTTCGAACCTTGTCTCGCTCATACCATCACATAACTAGGCCTTAGATTCGTTACATTTAACGACTTCACTCGTTGATCTTAATCTGTCTTGAAATCTATCACCCGAAACTTTCTCTTCTACTTCTATTATATTAGTAGGGAATGGTGATCGCACCCACGTTCAGCTATAATTATATATTAATGTATTTCATATAAATGCTTAAGTGCGAAGAGAGAGTAGATGTTGCTTTATATTTGTTAACCCATTTATGGTTTTATATATTAATATGTTTTCATGTACATATTTTACTGTAAAGGGAGAGTAGATTTTGCTTTATATTTGTTAATTTGTTTTTTATTTACACTTTAGACAAATAAAGCAGCTATAAAAACTATCTCTATCAATCAATCAATCAATCAATCAAGTAAGTGATTTTAGATTAACTATTAATTTTTGAATACAAATAAACTGATCCAAATATGGATTATGAAAATTGCAACAAACAGGTACCAGCCGGTGCAAACGTACCGTTTAGACATGAACACAAAATCCAAACACATGCCCCAACTTCACACACACACATATGGAAAGAAAGCTACTAAAAACTCCCTCTCATATCAGTCTGCAACTCTCTCTCCTCTTCCTGAAATGGTCTTCCATTTTTGAAAAGCTACATACATACATACCTCAGTAGTTTCTTTTCTCCCAAAGACCCCAAGAAAAACCCTCTCTACCTAGGGTTTACACAATCTCCCCAACCTTTTATTTTGTCTCATTCGCGTGATATAACTGATTGAGCCCTTGGGTCATTCAAATCCTCTCTGTCTCTCGTTCGCTATCTGTAACTCCCTCCCTCTGCTTCGCCACCTGTACCGATTTTATTCGCCATTCCTTCTCGAGGGTTCTATATATCAATGCAATTCCCCAATTCTCTCTCTACATTTCACGCCTCGCTGTGTTCTCTCAAATTGCTCAATTCGATACGCGCCCTTCTCCTCCTTCGCTAACGGGTAGGGTTTAAAAATCAAAATTTTGATCAGTTCGATTGGATATTTGGGTTTCTTGCGTGTCGTTTGATTTTGGGTTTGGGTTTGTGTGTGTGTGTGTGTGTGCGTGCTTGTTCAGCTGGGATGAATAGTGTTTTCAGTGAGCAGATACTCGCAGACAAGCTGTCGAAGCTCAACAACAGTCAACAATGTATCGAAAGTATCCTCCTTTGTTTTCTTGAATTGGGTTTTTATTTTTATTTTTAAAGTTAATTTATTTTGCATGTCTTTTAATTCTTGAACAATATGTATGGAAAGCATGCTTTTGAATTCTTTATCTGGTGGGATTGAGGAAAGTAGTTAAATTTCATACCTTTTGTAGTTGGTAAAATGCTATCTTCTTGATCTTTTAAATTTCAATGTCAGAATTGTACTTATGGATCATGATTCCTAGTTTTGTGTGTTTTTTAATGGTGAATTCTTTCTGTTTTTGTATCGATTGCTTCAATCGAGATGATGTGGTCAAGATTCTTTCTGGGTTTCCTGCTGGTGCTAATGCAATGGCTTAAAATTGAAAAAGTTCCTTATATTTTGTTGTTTGTTGATGTTGCAGCCTTTGAATTGAATTGTTTTTCTAGGGTTTTTCATCTTCTGAATATCTGCTTGTTTGGAGTTGCTGTGTTGATAATTCATTCCAGTTAAATGGAGGGTTGCAGTTATATGATAGTGTTTGTTACTTTTTGCTTGATTGTGTTTGTACTCTTTGATGAGATTCCATCCAAATTGGAACTTTTCTTTTATTTGTAGTAATTGGTACTTCTCCTGATGTGGTTAAGATTTTTTATGACTTTACATTGATTGCATGGGAATAAGATATAGTAAAATCATTTTGACGAGACACACGAAGGCCTAAAATAGAAAAGTATTCAGTTCTGGTTGCCCTGTCAGTTAATAATTAACAGACACAACCAGTTCTCTTAACCACTCCATGTCCACGCTTTTAGTTCTTGGGTCAAAATATAATTAGGATGTTTTTCTGTTCGATTCTTTTTGTTTCCATGCTCATATCAATCTTTCCTTTTGGGCTCCGTTTGTTTAGAAAGAAACATATGATAGAAAATGAAAATGGTAGAAAGTGAAGTGAAAGAAAGGAAAAAGAAATGAAAATTTATTTTCTTGCATGCATTTGAATAAATAAAAATTTTGTAAGAAAATGATGGGAAAAAAATATAATCACTGCATAAGAGGGAGTTGTGGGGAGAAACATGGGCAAAAAGGAAAGATTTGTGGGAAAAAATAAATTACCCTGTATATTTTGTAAGAAATTGTTAGCCTAACTAACAAGCTAACTTGAGTTGTACATGAAACTTTAGTTTCCATTACTTTCTGGGACTATATCTAAACAAACACATAAAAAATTATTTTTCTTTTTCTTTTTGTTTCACTTTCCTGTATTATCTATCTAACCAAACTGAGCCTTAAGGTTTTCTTTACAGATAATAAAAAACAACAGTAAATTGTGTCTTGCAAGATTATACTCTTGAAATGCCCTTTATCCCTTTGACAGTGTTGACTGGGATTGAATTTGAATTACACTAAGGCCTGTTAGATGGAAGGCAAAAGGATATGCGCAATACTAACATTAGAGTGTCACATTTACGAGGGAGCTCATTCAGGTTATAAGGTTGGAGGGTAGTAATCTTGTTTTAAATGAATGAGCTGTTTTCCTTTAAACTTGGATGATGGAAAGTATATCTCAATGAAGTAGATATTGTAGATAAATATTTGTTATTTTATCTGTAATTTCCTCAAGTTTAACCTAGTGCTCAATGCTTTCATTGAAATTTTGTGGCGGTAAAAGGACTAGGAGGAGCTCTTGTGTTGCTGTTAAACTTTAATTGAACATAGTAAAAGAGTGAGCATGAGAGGGAAAGAAAAGCTCGCAGTTTCAAATTGTTCGCATACAAATTATTGTTAGTGTTTCCAACTATAGCAGTAATATAATGAAAAGAGAGAAAAAATAATTTTTGACCGTGATGTTTAATGTTCTTGAAATAGAATTTATGCAGCAGGGTTACTTCAGGTTAGGAGTCATATCTATGTTAGATATGTTTCATGCCCACACTTCAAGGACACTCCTAGATGTTTCTCAGATGTCTCCAATACTGTGAAATAGCTTGTTGCTTTGCCGTTGGTGCACATCTGACACACCTTGGATGCTGCAATGTAGCATTTCTTAATATATATGTAGTTTTTGTTAATATAGCAATTGGAAGAAAACATGTAAGTTTTTTATTGGTAAGTATCATAAACAAGTCGAGGGATGTTATTGTAAAGGAAATAAATGGTCAATTATTGACAACCAAGTAGGTTAAAAGTTTAAATATATATATATATATATATTTTATAGAATCCTCATGTTATAAACTTTTTTTAACAGTTGAGGTAAAAGTGCAATGAAAAGGCCAATTTTATCCATGTTCATTTTTACAAACTTAAAACCAGCATCGCCACCTCATTTGCCGACAATGTCACTGCCACTTCTCCCTTCTCATCCCCATTCACCCTGTGCAGTGGCGCCATCGTCAAGCCATCTCTTTTTACCCATCAAAAAAAATTAAGGTTTGTCTACATTTTCTCTTTGATGGAAAAGCTAGAGGCTCTGAATGCTCCCACCTCCAATCCTCCATTGTCTCTCTATGTTTTTTATATAATATATATAACTATATCAAGTTCCTGTGCTTTTACGTATATATATATATTATAATCAATAACAACCACAATGAGAACCAGTGTCAAACCCAAAAATCAATTTTTATTTTTTATTTTTTATTTTGATTAACACTGGCTCATAAAAAGGAAAAAATCAAAACGGTGAAATTTGTGGCTATGAAGCATGGACACGGACACGGACACGGGACACGGCAATTTTAAAAAAATGGGGACACGGACACGGCTGGGGACACGGCAAAATTTTTTTTATATAAATATTTTTATTTTAATACAAGTTAATTATTTTATTTAATTATTATATTTTTAAATAAATATGATTCTATTAATTTTTTATTTTATTTTATCTACTTTTTTTTTGATTAATATATATATATATATATTATATAAAATATAAGATATAAGATATGTTTTTTTATTAATATTAAATAAATATACATATATACATATATATATTATATACATATATTATATGAATCAGATCAGATCAGATCAGAGCTGAGAGAGCGATCGACGCGAGAGCAAGAGAGAGCGATCGACGCGATCGATGCGAGAGCAAGAGATGCGAGTGAGAAGGAAGGCGAGAGAGAGGGACGAGAGAGAGAGAGAGAGACTTACGGATAGAGGTCGACAGGCGAGTCAAAGTCGAGGTCATGGATGGAGGTTGACTGGAGAGAGAGAGAGAGAGACTTACGGTGGTCGACTGGATGGAGGTTGACAAGCGAGTCGACTGGATCGAAGATCAGGTTTGTCTATTGATCTTTGCTCTTCTCCTTTACTCTTCTCTTTTGCTCTCCGTGTCTAGATTTGGACACGCGTGTCCAGATTTGGTGGACACGCGTGTCCAGATTTGGTGGACACGCGTGTCCCCACCGCGTCTCCGCCGTGTCCCTGCAAAAAAAATAATTAAATTAAAGGGACACGCCGGATGGCGTGTCCCGTACGTGTCCCCGGCGTGTTCCCGTGTCAGACACCGCCACGGCATGAAATCTGGCGTGTCCATGCTTCATAGATTTGTGGTCAATAATCATAGGAGCTCCTTTCAGCATTTTCTTGCACCACCATTACAAGTAAAGGTTCTTTTTATGCAAATCGTACTTTGAGGTTTGTTGAGGGTTTTGTGATAGATAGTTTCAAAGTTGCCCTGACCAAGGGGTGGGAGGCAGAAAAGGATGGGGTGGGTGGCACGACAGAGAGGGGCTTGGATCAGAAGGGGTGTATACTAATGAGTGAGTATTCAGAAGCAGATCTTTGATGCTCAAGACCTCTGTGCTCTGGCTCACTCAGGAAATGTCCTTGTTCGACCAAGTTGACTCAGCAGCAGTGCACCATGGTCAACACGTCAAGACACTGATGGTGAGTCTGTGATGTTGTTGGAGTGGGAGGTGCAGAAGTTGGATCCCACCGAGAAGTAGCGGAGCTTCCATTTGTGTTGTAATTGGTAACTCAATGGAGCTCTGGAATGGCTTCATTTTGAGATTGTAGAAAGGGATTTGGGCAAAAAAGTCTTTTTCACTGCATTTTATGACTCCAGTAAAATATTAATACTTTTTGACTCAATAAAAAATTTGAAATTCTAATTGATTTGTTTGTATTTTAATTATTTATTTCTTTCAATGTAATAATCCCAAAACTCAAACCACTTCTAAGAAATAGATATGTACGACATGATGTGTTTTTCAATCAAGGAGGAAAGTGATAGTGATGAGAGGAACCAAGGGGGAGGTAATTGTTATTATTATGTTAATATGTTTACATGTGCGTGCTATGTTTGCATGTCTACTATGCGTTCATTTTTGTGTTTATGCAATCTCTGATGGAGGCATTTGATTTTTATGTTGCAAGGATCAGACTCTGATATCTAGGGCACTATCGTTTATGCTGTGTTTATGCTGTTGTTGTATGTGTTTTTTGATGATATGGTAACTAGTTGGTTTGACAGGAGCATTATTTTAATCTAATCACATTTTTTGCTTTCTAGTCTAATTAAATACATTTATTGAATCATTAAAACCTTGTTGTCGCAACTCACTAGTAACAAATATTTGTTAAATATGATGACGAGGTTTAAGTTTCTTGCTTATGATTCAGCCCTTGTAATCTTTCACTTTTCCCTTCCATTGATTTGCAATCACACCTTAGGAAAGCTAAATTTGATTATTTTCCAGCTGGTGCAAACCATTTCATTTAGAATTTCTCAAACTTTATTCCATTATAGGGCTGCTTTTGCAATCTCGAGGATATGTTCATTTTCAGTTTTTTATATTATTTTTTTCCATTTAGCTTCTAATGAAAGTTTTCTTTAATTTTTGTTGGATTGTGATGTCGCAATTAGTTGACTTGCCTGAATTGATTGTGAGATTACCAACCTACCATGTTGACAGTTCAAGTTGTTTATGGACATTATGTACATACTACATTCTATCTTGAAACAAAAATGCCTGCAAAAATCAGCCTAATATTATATTTATTTTACTCTATTTTAAACTATATTGCGTTGTTTACCAAAGCCAATTTGGTTGATTTTGTTATTTGTCACTTCAATGTTCAAGAATAGCTGGAAAGCTCTTGCTGTATCTACTGATATTGATGACATTTTTCTATGCATGTGTGTATGTTTGTTTTTCCATAAATAAGATCGGTTTAGAGTGCTGAGTTTTCAACTTTACTCCTTAGCTTCATGAATAATGGCATTTTTTACAATTTTTGTTTGATAGTTTGTTATCTTGACTTTCACTTTTAGCATTGTCACATTGGTGTATTTTTCATCGGAGCAAAGCAGAGCTGGTTGTGGCAACCTGGGATAAGCAGTTCCATAGTTCACAGATGGTTCAAAAAATTCCCCTTCTGAATCTTGCGAATGACATACTACAAAATAGCAAGCGTAAAGGAAATGAATTTGTTTCTGAATTTTGGAAGGTTCTTCCTGCAGCACTCAAAGATGTCAATGGAAACAATGGTGATCATGGAAAGAATGTGGTTTCTAGATTGGTATGCCCTTTTATATTTGCTTGGGAATTTGGACAAATTGACTTACCGATTGTTTTGCAGTTTTCTGCTACCTTTTTAAGATTTTGAAAAGATCAATTGCTATGATATTATTGAATTCAAAGCACTAATTTCCTGTTTTAGTTATACTATTCTAGTTCCCTGCCTGTTTTGTCATTAGATTTGTATTTTAAATCTAGTAAAAATGATGTCTGCTTGGACTCTTGACATGTGTCAAGTTAGTGGACTCCACTATTATGTTTCTTCGGGGTTTAGTCCTTCAGTTTTGTTTCAGATGGATGCTCTATCCTTGTATATCTCCTTTTCCTTTTTAATTCAAGTTTCTATTTTTGATATAAAAAAAATAAAAAAAAAAGAAAAAACAAAAAAAGAAGAAGAAGCTAATTTGTTAAGCAAATGCCGAGATGTCAGCTGCACTGCAGTTATAAGATGCCATTACTTTCTTGACATATTAATCAAATTTGTTAGATCTAATAAACTTGTGCTTAAATAATTGATAGGTTGATATATGGGAACAAAGGAGAGTTTTTGGATCCCGTGCACGGAGTCTTAAAGATTTAATGCTTGGAGAACAAGTACCTCCACCCTTGGAGTTCAGCAGAAAGCGTTCCCGTCCTGTCAAAATTGTAAAAAGGGATTCACGCTCCATTAGAACGGTCAGAACGAGAGGCTCATGCTTCTTGCAACCTATTTTTTCTTCATTCTATATGATTTCAGGCATTTATGAGTGTAGATTTTCTAATTAAGTCCAAATTATATTGTTTCAATTTTCATACTCATGTTTGAGTCATGGCTCATCATGTAATTCCTTGTGCAACCAGAAATTGACCATTGGAGGTTCCGTTCAGCAGAAAAAATAGTTTCAGCATTTCACTTGGTACAGAGTGAACATTCAAGTGAGGATGGGGAGATGAGTAAATGCAAATCCGCAATTCAACGTGTCAGGAAGATGGATGAAGAAGTTGATTTGGCCTGTAGCAAAGGTAGGCTGACAATAGCTTGTAATCAACATTACGGGGCTTGTTTGGTGCATCAATTATAGCTTTTTAATTTTTATTTTGGGAGTCTATGCTAGACTGTTTGGTGCAGTTTTTGCTTACAATTTATTAGGCAGAAATAGCTTAAATAAGTTGAAAAGGCTGATTATGTGGAAGTTGGGAGAGAGCTGCTTTTGGTTTCTATTTTTTGATTATTAGCTTTCAGCATACAAAAAATGCACCAAACAGGCTCTACCATGTATGCCCAATGTGGTTGCATAAATTACTTTTCTTGGTGTTCTTAATTTTGTTCTAAGAATATTCTATGCCCATAATGTGATGGTGTGTTTCTTTGTTGAGTTTCTTTGTTGTGCAGCAAAGGACCCAAAGCGAAATACTTTGTCCAAGGAACTGGAGGATGAAGAAAATGCTTTGAAACAGTCTATTGAGAAGCTTAAACTAGTCGAAGCAAATAGGGTAGCCCTGGTATCTCAGTTACGAGAAGCGCTGCATGAACAGGTATTTGGCTATATTGCCATTTTTAAAACTAACTAGCACTAAGTTCTGTTGCATTGATATGGGAAAAAGTGATTATGTGTTCAATAATGTAATTTTCAAATAGCAAGTATATGCATTCTTTGTGCTTATGTTCTGAAAATTTTCAGGAATCCGAACTGGAGAATGTTCGCACACAGATGCAGGTATGTTTTCTGACTACTATATTCTTCGACAGTTGTTTTTTTCAAGGTCACTTGTTTCTTCTACTGATTAAATAAAGACGGAGAATGTGCAATACCGCGTAAGAAAAGTATTGGATTCTTGTTTGTTCTTTGTTTGGATTTATAGGTTTTGTTATACTTTATTCCTTCTTTTAGTACTTAATAGTACTCTGATAAAAAATTTTTTTTTCTTAATAATGCTTGCTAAGCTGCTAAAAGCAGTTGCAACTTACAAGCATTATCAAGGTTGCAAAAAATATGATTTCTAGTATAATTTTGGTAGAGCATTAAGACAGAATTTATCCATTAAACAATTTTAACATGAAACGCTAAAAATGCAATTCCAACCTTTAAAAATCAAATCACTCTAGGATTTGTTTTTTATTTGTCTATGCAAATAAATATGGATAGATGGCCATAGATTTCAACAGAAATCAAACCTGTTACTATGGAATGTGTATATAAATATCATGCATGCAAATAGTTGTCAGATAACAATCAAACCTGCATTTTCTGAATGATGTTATCAGAATTGGTCAACATGCATGCTAGTTTTGGAACACTTGAAAATTGCATATAATTATCAAATTATCATCACTCGACCAACTGTAAAAAATTTGCCAGCAAGAGTTCCTATACTTGGACAACCTGTTACTATCACTTATTGGTCTGAAGCAGAGTATCAATTCTTTCTTGGAGGAAAAATAAAATAAAATAAAAGATTGGCTTAACTGAACTTTCCTAGAGGTCTATATCATTTCAATGAACCTTTTTTTTTTTTTTTTTTGTGTTTTTGTGTTTTTTTTTTCCTTCTAAATTCAAAGATCTTATTATGACCACAAATTCTTTTTTTGTCTTTTTTTTTGGGCGAACAATCCCTATTTGGAGATTTGGATTTGAGTCATTTGTAAGATGAAAAAAAAGTAGTTATGTCGTATTTCCCATCTGGCTCAACAGTCCTTGTAGGTATGCGGTATACCATTGGGACTTTTATGATCAAATAATCGCATCCCAGCATGATGCTAATATATCACAACATTCGATTGATTTTCAGGTAGCACAGGCTCAGGCAGAGGAAGCCAGCAACATGCGGAAGCGGCTCGATGACGAAAATTATGTTTCAGTTTCAAAACAATCGACCACAATCCCACCATCCATAGATGCGATCACAAAAGCTGGAAAACCTACCAAGAAGACCGCTGCAGACATTGCAGCTGAGGTTGCCGACAAGCTTGCAGCTTCCAGCTCTTCTCAGTATATCATGACATCAGTTCTGTCGACATTTGCAGCTGAAGAAGCCAAAAATGCCGGGCTGACAAAGTCATCTTCAGCATCTTCTTTTCTGCCTCTGCCTAACAACTCGGTCACTAATATGCCACCACAGCAGCCAACCGCTCCACCGTCCAACACATATCAGTCAATTTTGATGCCGCAAATGACCTTGCAGAGCCAAACACCAACCTCTCAGACCACTCAATACCGTATGCTTCCGACTCTCTCTCCTCAGCAATATCTGCAACTTTCAGGTGGGTTCATGAATTCGTATGCTTATGGAAGCATTCCTCCTCTGCCACCACCGCCACCGCCGCCACCGCCACCACCACAACAAGCCCACATGGTTAGTCCGGTGGTGCCTTTGGCTCAGCAAGCAATGCAGATGAGTCAACAGCATTCGGTGCCAGTACCTCAGCAACCGCCGGCTCCGCCGAGTTTCCGTCCTCTCGGCTTTATTCAGCCTTCTGGAATGGTTTACTATGGGCTCCCCCACCATTCTCAGTGATTGGTTTCAGGGCAGTCCAGTTAAATGGTCTGTTTTGGGGGAATCTGAATCTTTTTCCTGGGAATTTGGAAATTTTGTTTGTGCAAATTGCTCTTGTTTAGATGAATTAGATATGAAGAGTTATGGCAATAATCATACAGTTGTGCATCTGAAAACAATTGATTGTGCAGGGGAAGGGGAGGATTAGCCATTTCTTTTTTAAACTTTAGGCGGATTTAGAGTTTAGGACCAATGGATGACCTTATTGCCGCCCTGCATCTTTTGTGGTCATAGTTATTGTCTGCATAAAATGATGATGGTTTAGAGAGAGAGAGATATATATAGATAGAGAGTGAGAGAGAGCAATTTTGTATTTGCTAATTAAACCAGATAAAGCAACCTCTCTTTGGATAGTTCTCAAATGTCTTTTTTATTGGATACTTTTCAAATGTCTCTGGAAATTTTTTATTTTTTATTTTATTTTATTTTATTTTTTTGAGGGAAGTCTTTGGAATTGTTGATTACCTTTTAATTGCATTTTTGGAAACTAAAAGATTAATGTAATTGAGTTTCTCAAACACTAGATGAGATGAGGTCAAGCTTGATTAATTTTTGGCAAGGTGAGCCGAGCCAAGTCTACCAATGTTTAAATTGACAGTTCTTAAATATAGAATTTTGGAATTTTGCCACTTAACATTTGATATATGTGCGGATCACTTCCTTGTGATTAGAAAAAAATCATATGATTCTCATCTGATTTGTGGATTAAGGGAGCTACTATTAGCCTCCACATTTTTTCTTAGGACCCCCAACCCCAAAATTGCCCTTCCTTTTTTCTTTGAGCACTCGTGATAATTCCATTTCTATCCTTGGACCCCATCATTGTCTTGGAACAATCTTCTGTGCAAATAAAATAAGTAGAAATAAATTCAAACAAAATAAATAAATAATATGCCGGATTTATTTTTTCGAACCAAATAAAAATTACAAGACCAAGTCGAGTGTGTGGCATTCTGTCCTTAAGACAGATTCGTCCCGTTACGATGCTTACGGTTGAGTGGTGTCTATCTCTCAGGATACAATGATTTTCACTAGGGGGGAGCAACGGATATACCGATCCGTCAAAACCGAATAAATAATATGCCGGATTTATTTTTTCGAACCAAATAAAAATTACAAGACCAAGTCGAGTGTGTGGCATTCTGTCCTTAAGACAGATTCGTCCCGTTACGATGCTTACGGTTGAGTGGTGTCTATCTCTCAGGATACAATGATCTTCACAAACTTGTAGTAGCACTCTACACAAATTTTTACGGCGAACCAAACCTTGTGGTCTATACTCTCTTAAAATTATTCTAAAACTAATAAATGAAGAATAAATGCAGTAGAGCAAATGGACAACAAAGAGACCAAATTCAGATTAATTTTCGGATTTGAAATTGGATTACAAAGACTCAATTTCCCGGGGGTCTAGAATGCTGGATTAATGGCTGTATATATAGGCAACCAACTCTGCCCCGAACAGGTCCCAAAAAATAGTGAAAAGGTGCATAATGAATATAACTGTTGCTTGAATTCGTTTTCAAAAAAGTTTGAAAAATGTTAGAACAAATTTCAACCAATTTGAAAATAGAACCGTTGGAGAACAGTTTCAAACTGATGGACCTTTATTATATAAACTATATGGAATATATATATATATATATATATATATATAAATATATATATTAAACTATTGAAATAGTTTAATAAATAAAGAGGTACAAACTTTAGAAAACCACTTAGGAATCCATAATTTGAATTTAGAATTAAATTAAATTCTCATAATTACAAACTTTAGGTAACCATTTAGGAACCCAAAATTTGAATTCAGAATTAAATTAAATTCTCACAATAATTTTTATTGAAAAAATTCATATGAATTTTATCTAAGTAATTAATGTTAGACTCGAAAACGACGTCAACTTCCCATTCACTCATAAATGGTTTTGACGTTCCGTCTTCACCGTGTGACTTGCCACGCGGCAAGGAACACGTCACCTCTTCGGACCCACCCCAAAAGACGCTAGGGGCCCACTCAATTTTGGGCTAAAAAATATGCCTATATTTTAAAAATTTTGCCAACAATCCCCCATATGAATGGAATTTGATGGAGAGAAAATGTAATAACAATATCTAACTACAGAGAGTACAAAATTGGAAATATTCTGCAAAGGATATGTAGCTTTTGGCTTTGAACCTTCCTATGTGAGACACTATCGGATTTACTAGCTAACCAGTGAACATGATGTCTTGAAATGTTCAGCCGTTTGTGTAAACCAAGACAATAGAACTCACACAAGAATATCCCAGACACAGTTTAGTTCTCACTATTGTGTTCATTTAGTTAAAGGCTCACCTGGTTTTTCATGAGTGTTCTAGAGAATTATAGCCCTTCACAAATCTCATAGAAATCGGCCCAGTTCACACTCACATAGGTGATTCTTATGAAAAGTATCCTGCCATACTCCACTAGGTTTATCTAGATATAAGAATCATTAAAATTTTACTTAACCTCAAATGCTACAGACATCACTATTTCATCAAAGAAATGGGTAGGAGTTAGACTCCCCAGTGATCCTTCTGAGTCATTCACAACTCGGTTGTCCCTTTGAACCTAGATCTTGGGATCTTCAGTCAACTAGGTTGGGTTGCCGTTGTGGTAACTCTTATTTAATAGGCTTAAGTCACATTCCCGTCGATGAATTCTCAACTAACTCTCTTGCTAACCCTTTGGTTAGTGGATCCGCTATGTTGTCTTTAGACTTAACATATTCTATGGAAATAATTCCATTAGAGAGTAGTTATCTTATGGTGTTATGTCGACGACGAATGTGTCGTGCCTTACCGTTATACATATGACTTTGTGCTCTACCTATAGCTAATTGACTATCACAATGTATGCATATAGCAGGCACTGGTTTTCGCCATATCGGAATATCTTCAAAGAAGTGGCAAAGCCATTCTTCCTCTTCCCTTGCTTTGTCTAAAGCTATAAATTCTGATTCCATAGTAGACCTAGCAATGCAAGTCTATTTGGAAGATTTCCAGGATACAGCCGCCCCACTAAGAGTAAAGACATACCCACTGCTGGACTTTCAGTCTCTTGTATCCGATATCCAATTTGCATCACAGTATCCTTCAAGTACTGCCGGATATCTAGTATAATTAAACCCAATATTACGAGTAAATCGGAGATATCTTAGAACCCTTATAATTGCTTTCCAGGGTTGTACTCCCGAATTACTCGTATATCTACTTAATTTACTGACTGCATAAGCTATATCTGAGCGAGTGCAGTTCATCAAGTACATTAAGCTTCCAATAATTTGGGCATACTCTAATTGAGAAATACTTTCCTGTACATTCTTAGAAAGATACAAATTAACATCTACAGGTGTTCTAGCAAGATGATCATCATCTTTGCTGAATTTGTCAAGTATTTTCTCAATGTAATGAGATTGTGACAAAGCATATCCTTCTGATGTTTTGGTAATTTTCATACCAAAAATTACATCAGCAATGCCCATGTCTTTCATGTCAAAATGTTTATTCAACATTTTCTTGGTAGTTGTAATCATATCATTATTACTACCTATGATGAGCATATCATCCACATAAAGACATACAATGACATAACCTTTGTCTGTGTTTTTAATATAAACACATTTGTCACACTCATTAATTTTAAATCCATTTGACATCATTGCCTTGTCAAATTTCTCATGCCATTGCTTTGGTGCTTGTTTTAAACCATATAATGATTTAACCAATTTACACACTTTCTTTTTTTTCCCTAGAACAGAAAACCCTTCTGGTTGTTCCATATAAATTTCTTCCTCTAACTCACCATTTAAGAAAGTGGTTTTAACATCCATTTGATGAATTTCAAGATTGTATAGAGATGCAATGGCAATTAGCATTCTAATGGATGCTATTTTAGTAACCGGTGAGTATGTGTCAAAGTAATCAAGACCTTCTTTTTGTCTAAAACCTTTGACCACAAGTCTTGCCTTGTATTTGTCAATTAATCCATCCACTTTCAATTTTCTTTTGAAAATCCACTTGTACCCAAGAGGTTTACAACCTGGTGGCAAGCCCAATAATTTCCAAGTGTGATTTTGCAAGACGGATTCAACTTTACTGTTAACAGCTTCTTTCCATAAAGGAGCTTCAGGACTGGACATAGCCTCTTTAAAAGTTAAAGGCTCATTTTTCTAACAAATATGTTAGAAAATCTAGACCAAATGATTTTGAGGTTCTAGCACGTTTACTACGCCTAGGTTCTTCTTCCTCATTTTGGTCTAACTCTTGTTCTTGATCATGTTCTTGATCTTGACTAGTAATGGCATCATGAGATCTTTTATTGTTACTAATCTCTTGTCCAATATTCTTTGGAAATACATGTTCAAAAAATAATGCATTCCGAGACTCAATAATAGTATTTACATGTATTTCGGTATGTTCTGATTTATGAATCAAAAACCGATATGCACTACTATTCTTGGCATAACCAATGAAAATGCAATCAATGGTCTTAGGACCTATCTTAGTCTTTTTAGGACTAGGAATAGCCACTTTAGACAAACACTCCCACATTTTTAAGTATTTGTAGGATGGTACTCTTCCATGCCACAATTCATAAGGTGTTTGATTCACTTTCTTTCGGGATACTTTATTAAGTACATAATTAGCAGAAAGTATTGCTTCCCCCCACAAGTTCTGAGGTAATCTAGAACTGATTAACATGGCATTCATCATTTCTTTTAAAGTCCTATTTTTCCTTTCAGCAATTCCATTTTGCTGAGGCGAGTAAGGAGCAGTGGTTTGATGAATTATTCCATGTTCTTTACAAAACTCACCAAAAGGTGATTCATATTCTCCATCTCTATCACTTCTTATTTTCTTGATTTTCTTACCAAGTTGATTTTCAACTTCATTCTTATATTGAATGAAAGTTTCCAAAGCTTCATCCTTAGTTTGAATTAAATAAAAATAACTATATCTAGTATAGTCATCTATAAAAGTGACAGAATACTTTTTTCCACCTCTTGTTTGAATTGATTTAAAATCACAAATGTCACTATGAATTAATTCAAGTAGTTCCGTACTTCTTTCAATTGAATGAAAAAGAGTTTTAGATAATTTTGCCTCAGAGATTTGAGGTGTACGGGAAAGAAATACGCCTTCTCGTATAATCCTGTTGACCAAGTCCACGCTTCTCCGTACGACGTCGCTTTGTCACCTGAAAACACAAACGTGAGCTAGCCGGCGGGTGTGTGCCGGAAACCTCTCCGATGCCTAAGTCAGAAAACTTGACAAATAGACAAAGCTCTAGGTTCTCAGAAAGATTGTGTTCAATTACCTCCTCCAAGGTGATGTTTGTGAGCTTTTATAAGTT